TCATTTCGGTCACTTTTACGTTTAATAAATTGACTCAAATCATAACAGCCGCGTGCATTTGCATTTCAAAGTGACATCTGAACGTATATATACCAGATTGTTATAACGTTTAGCAAACTAATTAATGTTATGCTAATTTTAATACACGACGGTCTATTAGTTCTATAGTTAACATTTAAAAATTATAATTAAAATTCTAAAATAAAAGAAGAAACTAGAGATTACAAGATAAGAAAGAATACTAAGTTAGTTTTCTTTTATTTAATTTAGTTTTTCAATTCCATGTTCAAAATTATTTATTTTTTCTTTCGGTATATTTAAAATCGAATTATTGAAAAGGGATTGGCTCCTGGAATACAGTGCTCAATCCTAGTACAGGAGCCAAGGCTCCTATATAATTGTGTACTTAAGTGTTGCATTAAAGCATTTTATTTATTTAAAGTAGATATACGAAGGCTATAACTTTGATACAGTTTTAAACAGAATTTATTATGACCTATATAAATAAGACCGAGATCGAAACAAACGAAAGTTCGACAATACTAGCTGTCGGCCGCGACTCCGTCCGCGTGTTTGTCAAAAAAAATTAAAAAAAAAATTTGGGTGGCACTACCCTTAACATTTAGAGGGATGAAAAATAGATGTCGGCCGATTCTCAGACCTACTAAATATGCTCACAAAATTTTCTAAGAATCGGTCAAGCCGTTTCGGAGGAGTATGGGAACGAAAGTTGTGATACGAGAATTTTATATATAAGATTTATAACCTTTGTAGAGATATCATCGTATCTCTTCAAAGTGACACTGCACGGATATTCTGGTAAATTCCAGATAAATGTCGCTTAAGACATGTCTATTGTCGTGACATCATGATTGTTTGGACCCTGACATATAGAACAACTTGACCTTAAATAGGTAATGATAGATAATTTTCCACTCGAAATAGATGACCTAATAATGGGTAGGTTCGAAAAGTTAGTCGCATCAAGTCACAAAGTCGCAGAAAGAATGTGAGGCTGGTTATCATACAAACGTAAACTCAGACTATGACTAGCCATGGGTTTCTCAGACCAAAATCCAGATTTAAAACATATTGTTATCTCCGTTTTATCACATATGATAGACAGGGATGATATTTTTATACCCACGTCAGTATCCACGGTAAGTACGTTAAAATTTATATTATTAAAATGACATGTGAAATTATTCAGAAAAGAAAAGAAACATTACAAAAGAGCAAGCTTGTAAAATGAACTCAAAACAAGCGCGATTCGGTTAAAATTAAATTACTTAATGGCCAGTTCCAGAGCGATCTTATTTGGAATGATTTCCATATTTATTCCCCGGGCTAAGTAATTAGCGGACTGGTTAATTAACGCGGCTGAACGTGATCGTGCTGTTGCATAAAGCCGGCCAACAACTATTCATCATGGCGTCGCGTCAACTGTCAACTGTCAGTTTTTGGGTTTGCGCGCGAAATGACTTTTAACAACGTTTTAGCTGTTACAAGACTTGTTGAGTTATTAAATGGTTAATTAACTTTAACTTACTGTTACTATAAGCTAATGCCATTTAAAACTGTGTAATAATATTTATTAGTAAGATTCACCTTAAAAATATATAAATTGTTTAGTATTTTAAATTATATTAGAGACAGTTCCTTTCCATGTAACATTTTCGCCACATCTAGCAGTTATGTAAAACGCAATTAACAGTTTAGGTTGTTTTCATTGACTCGTAAACTTGACAAATTACAAGGAAATCTATTAACATCAAACCAAAACAAGTCGTTAAATGCTTTGAAGTCAAATTAAACGTGTACAAGTAAAATCATTCGACGTTAATAAAATATTAATCTAATTTTGTCTTTCTTATAAAATGTTATATTTAAGAAAAACTAGCTGTCGCCCGTGACGACATCCGAGCGGGAATTAAAAAAAAACCTTTGACAGTAACCTATGCCTCCTTCCAGACTATGTTATACATCTATGCTAAATTGCAGCGAGATCCGTTGAGCTGTTCTGAATATATCTTCAAGCAAACATCCATCTAAACTTTCGCATTTATAATATTAGTAAGATGTATAATATTTAATAAAATATGAAACCATATGCTTGAAAAGGCTGTAGAGACAAATAAATAAATGTTTTTTGTTCCATTTAATTCCGCGAATCACAGGACAAAGAATAACAAAAGTGAACAAAGTATAGGTACTTTGAATATCACTTAAACAAACAGACAAACTCTAATATACAAGTGACAAAAGATTTTTATATATATTATTTTTAATTTCGTACTACAATATATTACCTTCAATTTCACCTTTAACGACTGATTGTTTATTAATATCTTGGCCTTTCTAAGCTAAATATTTGTATTAAGAGAAGGCCAACAGTAAGATTGGTAACAATAAAACCTCAAAACACAAAATCAATCAGTGGTAAGATTTCCTCGGGGAGTCCCCGGCGATAGAGTACGGCAAATATTCGAGAAATTTCTCAATTGACATTTTCTCTTTCTACGTTAAAATATCGTTTTACCGTCCATTTGTTTGTAAAGGCAGCTCATTGTGGGGAGCAAGATTTCACACATCCCAGCGGAGTGAAATAAAATTACTGTTATTACAATACTAGTTCTCGCCCGAGACTCCGTCCGCGCGGAAACAAAAAAAACTTTAATATTAGCCAATGTGTTCTTCCAGGCTATGTTGTACGTCTATGTCAAATATCAGAGAGATCCACGCAGTTATCCTCTAGATATCTTCAAACATCCGTCCTTCTATCTAAATATTCGCATTTATAATATTAGTAAGACAACAGTTTCATAGTAAATGAGTAACACAAATGTTTTTGTGAGTTACAAAGATTTTTTAAATGTTCATGTCATCATCAGCTCACTATACGTCCCCACCGAGGGGCTCGGAGCCTACTCTAAGTTAAGGTTGATTAGGCCATAGTCAACCACGCTGGCCAAGTGCGGGTTGGTTGACTTCACACATATCTTTGAATTTCTTCTCAGATATGTGCAGGTTGCATCACGATGTTTTCCTTCACCGTAAGAACGTCGGATAAATGTACATATGTAAATCGGAAATCGAATGTAACATTGGTACATGGCGGGATTCGAACCCAGGACCTGCAGATTGCAAGTCAACTGCTTAACCACTGAGCCACCGACGCTAGCGACGACGCTTTTAATCTTACATTAAAGAAATTTTTCATTGTAATAATATAACTTATATTGTAAAATTAATATTCCTTTCTATCAAACGATTGACGTAGAAAAACTAAAAAAAAAACCTTCAATTGATAGCTATTTTAATTAAATCGTTATTTGAACGATTGAAAAATTGTAAAATTGAAATTCAGATAAATTTTAAAAGTATTAAATCTCTTCAAACTAATTTAAATTAAAAATCTATTAATAAAAATCTTTAATAATTTGAATTATTATTAAAAAAGGACACTTAATTTAAATCTATTTTTTTGTTATAATTCGTGTAATAAATTATATTAATTACACGAATTGTTTTGTAAAATAATTTTGAATTACTAACAAAATAATTATATCTCGCGCTCGAATAAATTTCTCTTTAACAAAAAAAAACCTTTTCGTTTTTTAGGGTTAGAAAAACGCGCGGGAAAGTGTTGCTAATTAGAATATTCAGATTAAAATTAACACAACTTACAAATTTACTGTTTTTAATTTCTTAATGCAAATATCAAAACCTTTGATGTATATTTTGTTTTTTGTAGAAAAATGTTGTTATTTTTAATCTATTCTATGCTAAAGTCCATCGGTCGGCCCAAGTACCGTTGGCGAGACACTGTAGAGCTGGACCTGTGGGAGCTACAAGCGATGGACTGGCAGGAGAAGGCTCAAGAGTGGCGACTTTGACGATCTCTTGTGCCGGTGGTTAAGACCAACTTTGGGTCGAGCGGTGTAAGTAAACATTAACCTAAAGTATCTACAGTTATTTAAAAAAATACGCAAACATATGAAATTGTAATACAACTATGATCATAATGTCATCGATAGAGTCACAAATAAAGTTGAAATTCAATTAACTTTTTCAATATAAAAGTTTAATTTGCAAACTAGATTTAATATTGAATAAATTAGTACTTGACCACTTATATGATTTGAATCTTTAAACAAAAGAATTACACTACCTAATAGAAATGTTAATTATTCATCGATTTCATTATTATCAGCTCACTATACGTTCCCACCGAGGAGCTCGGAGCCTACTCTAAGTTAAGGGTGATTAGGCCATAGTCAACCACGCTGGCCAAGTGCAGGTTGGTTGACTCACACATATCTTTGAATTTCTTCTCGGATGTTTTCCTTCGCCGTAAGAACGTCAGATAAATGTACATATGTAAAATCGGAAATAGAAAAACATATTGATACATGGCGGGATTCGAACCCAGGACCTGCAGATTGCAAGTCAAATGCTTGACCCATGAGCCACCGACGTTCAGCGAATTATTGATTCAGAAATAGAATTCAAATTAAATCTAATAATATACGTTATATTTAACATGGTCTTTGTAATTTGGTTTATTTATATCGTAGTGACGTCAGCAACTAATTAAATCGAAGTTAAAGGTTATCAGGTGTAAGGTAAGGAGGGTTATTGGCTCATATTTTAATGTCAAAATTAACTAATTTATAGGTCAGGTTAGCACGTAATTTTGATATACATCTCTTGTTATGTTCACATATTGTTATAATAAAAAGAAATATAACCAGCAATGTAAACTAGTATTGCGTTATTGTTTTTTTTTGCTTGTATGTATGTGTGATTCCTAAAGCGAAACCTTTAGATTATATATGTACTAGCTGTCGCCCGCGACTCCGTCCGCGTGTTTTAAAAAAAACTTAATTAGTCTACGTGTTCTTCCAGACTATATTCTATATGTATGCCAAATTTCAACTAGAACTGATCAGCCCGTAGTTGATACCAAACATCCATCCATCCATCTATCCAAACATTAGCATTTATAATATTAGTAAGATTGAAATTGAATACCATGCTGGTAGTGTGTTCAAATTTCAATTCAAGAAGCTAAAATTTCGAATAACCAGGTTGTTTTCGAAAGTATTTCACAACGACGAAATTGTAACAGTTTGACAGATGAACGGGATTTAGGAATGTAAAGTATGCAATAACGACCTCTTTGAAAGCGCCGTAAAAATTCCTACAGCCTAAGTTGTTAAGTTAAGATTTTACACTTCGAAAAATAAGTATAATTTTCTCTTTTGTTATTTTTAAATTTAACACTACAAGGAACTTTCTGTTATAACTCAACCACAGATAATATAAACCTAATTTAAATTACGCAGAGATTACTGAGACAATATGGAATCCACAAAAACAAAACAACTTTATTTTATATATAAAATTCTCGTGTCACAATTTTTGTTCCCATACTCCTCCGAAAAGGCTTGACCGATTCTCATGAAATTTTGTGAGCATATTGAGTAGCTCTGAGAATCGGATACTATTTTTAATCCCGTGCGGACGGGGTCGCGGGTGACAGCTAGTATTATCTAAAAAAATGCAACGTATTTTTTAATCAACTATAAAATAAATGTTCTTTGTTATACGACCATATAAATATTTAATTAACTTTTATTAACTATGTTAGTAATATTTCAAAATACAATAATGTTTAAATCTTTACAAGTAATAACACGATAAGTAAAAGCTTTCAGCGGGAAATTTCAGTTTTCAGGACCTGGCCACACTGTAAGTCACTGATGCTTGTCAATGCACGAAGCAACAGGTCTATATCTTGTAGAGTTAGGGTTGCCAGTTATGTTCTTTTAATTTGTTATTATATTATACAAAAAAAAAGTAAGCAGCCTATGTGTGCTTCAAGACTGTTCTAGATATATGTATGCCAAATTTTACTTCGTTTTGGAGACACATAGTAAATAAAAAAACATCCAATCCAAACTTTCGCATTTATAATATTAGTATGATAGACATCAAATTATTGATCTAGGAAAGAATATGATACAAAATAAAAGCTCTATTTTCAATACGGTTTTAGCCGTCTAAGTCGTTAAGTTTACGCCAAAACGATCATACTTAGATTGATTAAGTAAATTATTATACTTTCACACCTTTTTAGATGAGGTAGATAAAAATACAAAGTTAATTTTAGTTTAATAAACATTTACGAATTTCATTCAAATTTAATTAATTATAAATTTATCTCAATATTCATTCTCAATTTCTAAAATAATTTTACGTTCAATTAAAATAAACAAACCGTTGATAAATTTAGATTTTAACTTAGAGTTTTCTTTCGTAGCAATTTATGTAACAAGTATATTTTCTTATATATTTCTCTACTATACATAACAAGTATTTAAGTTGTAACTATTATCTGTTCGCGCATACTGATGAGACTAATTTAAATTTTAATTATTAAACAACAGCAACTTGTAATGTACTTAAGTAAAGAACGAGTGAAATTTTTAAAAGAAAAACTTTGAAAATTTTGTACAAAGATGAAATTGTTGTTCTGTAACAGTGTTACAAAATTAACATGTCTGTGCAAGTTTAAGTTAATAAAAAAATGCTTTGATGATTTGAATACACGATTTTAAATGACCTTTTACATTAAGCCTATCCCGTTATCCTGATTTCATAAGTAAATTATTAGATTAATAACGAATATATCAAACTATTATTCCTTGTTTTATAAAAATGTATATATTACGCTTAATCGTTTTTAATATATATGTAAAACATATAATATGTCGCCCGGTGAAATACCACGAACGCACAGAAGACAGGCGTGAAGTGGTAGCAATTCCGCGTACAGTCTGATGAGTGTGCGTTCCGGAGGCCTAATTCAGTCCTCTTTCCCTTCCCACCCTTTTATAAGTAAAGGATGGGAAGTGGAAGTGGACTTCACGGATGAGAGGATGCATGGAAAGGGAAAATATTTTCTTTTTGTGCACCCGTCCGTCGATTAAAGGTACGCAACGCATATGCAATTGGGTATGTCTATGGGCAACAGTCACTTTGATATTTTAGCGATTTCAGGTGGCCGCTCGCTCGTTTGCCACCTTATGATATAAAAAAAATATATCATTAGTTACCTTAATATAATTAAAAACGGCTACACTGAAATAAAGTTATCATACGTGATTGTATCCTTTTTGATTAGTTTCGTGAAATTTTAAATAATTCAATTAGCTACCTTTATTTTACTACAATATTACCTACATTTTGTACAAATTTCAGTAAATAACTGAAAAATGTAAAGTGTGTCTGCCGCACTGTGTATGGAATTTGTATTTCCTGTATACAATTTAAGTACGCTTAAGTAACTATACGTAGTTCAGTAGATAAATATTTTATTTTTCGTATAATAAATGTGATGCATCAACTTTGTATTAATGAAGAAAATGAACTTATATAACGACGAGATTTTTAAATGCTTCTGTAGATGTAAGATTTAATAAATAATCTATCGTATTTAAGCAAGCAGACTTGTGATAGTTGAGATTGTACTACTATACTGGCTGTTGCCTGCAACTCCGTCCGAGTGGAATTAAAAAAAATAATTTATAGGCTATGTGTTCTTCCAGGCTATACTCTACATCTATGCCGATATCAGCGAGATGTATTTAGCGGTTCTGGAGATACCTTCTAAGACACATCCATTTATCCAACTATCCAAACATTCGCATTTATAATGTTAGTAAGATGTAATTCTTAGAAGTAACGATTTCTAGCAAATAGAATTAAACCGGAGATTGCTCGTTTTGTAACCTTTCTACAAAAGTAATTTAAAATTGTGCATCTCACGTAACTTTACTTTAGTTTTAACTTTGTTTCAAAATGTCATTATATTATAAGATACTGAAAAAGTTAACACATCTAAGTCGTGAAAGCCAATATTTTAGTATTTACTAAGTATATTGGTGAAAGAGGTTTTTATAATATTATTATAAGATTTTATATTTTATTGTTTTTATAATTCGTACAAATGTTTTTTCAATGAAAAATTTATTTAAACACATGTTGCATTTTTCGTATTTTAGAGAGATATGAAAGAATCTTTTGTTTGAATAATTCTGCAGTAGAAACCCACCTTAGTGTCTACATTTAATTGTGAGAGTGATATTTTTATGTATCTTATTGTTTGATATGTAGTCAAAAGGAAATATTGATTAGAAATTATCTCAAGTTATATTGTTATAAAAAGGGAATTCGTTAAATATTTGCGATTGCAGAAGTTTCGCAAACTTTTCTAACAATAAAATAAATTCGTACAATATTTTTTGCTTTTAATATAATATTTTTGAAGCAATTTTTTAAATATTTAACCAAATATAAAATTAATTATTTAAAAACATATCCGAAAAATATTTTTGAAATTTTCAGTACACCAAATACACGATTTTCCCTAAAAATATTTACTAAATTAAAATAACTTACCGAAAAGCCATTGCTGATAGTTGCTGGTGCTACGGTGCTACGGTGCTACGAAGACAAGCTACGAAGCTCTGAATGCCGTAGAGGCCGCGCGGCTGGCTTTATATTTGGGCGGCGCGTAACCACCCCGCCCTACGCCCAGTGCATGCAGCCTCCTTGGGACCATGTCTTGATTAAAATCTATTGTTTGTTTTCGTCAATTACTTCTTTACCAAAATATAGAAATAACTGTTATTAAGTTGTTTTATAAGGCTGTTTGTTATTGCCAGTCGCGAAAATTATAAGAAAATCAACCGCAATTAAAATAAAACAAAATCAGTTTGCTTTGAACTTTTTCTATTTGAGTGAAAAAAAAAAATTTATATTATATCTTAATTACTTTGTTTTTTTTTTATGTTACCTGTATAAATTTGCTCCCACGCAGTTTCCCAGTAGAACATTACAGAGGTAGATTATCTTAGTGTGGGTGTTTTTATATCAGATACATCTGAATTATACTGATAAGAGTTGTAAGAATAACCGCGTCAGTAGGATTATTAAGAAGTGGAAGAAGATAAAGTAAGTGTCGATACAATATACTTGTCATCATCATGAAGTGAAAGGTTATTCTCATATCTTATAATCAGACTATTCTTGCGTACTACTTTCCTTAGAATTACTTAGTTTTAATATCCCTCCTTTAGTTATTAAGGGCTGTATATATCAACTCTTTGACGTTTACCATAATTAAAAAGATAAAGTTTTTTTTATTCCTTTCGACCACATCACTTAACGTCGGATGGAATTGTTGTCAAGAACTACTTTGTAGCTTTTTACCGCAACTTCATCCGGAATTTTTTTTAAATCCTAGGAATTACTCATATAATAATGTAGCTCTTAAATGAATTTCTAAAATCGGTTCAACAGTTTTAAAGTTTATTAGTTATATAAAAAATCTTTCCTATAATATTTGTGTTGATAAAAACGTGTCAATTGGCGAATAAGGAAAAAAAAATAAACGAATCCATTTAAAGAGTTTTAAAAGTTCATTGATCCTTATTGTAAAAGCGAGTCAAACATCCGGGTTTCCCTAACGATGAAAGCTGATATTTTGGCCGCAATACGCCAGAGAATCCGATACTGTGCTTTGTTCGCTAAGGAGTTCCAGCGACGTAATATAAATTCGTAGTCGACGCGACGCGACCTTACCTTTGCTCTCGTAATATAATGCCGTGAAAATACCAAAAATCAAGGTATTTGTTTATAGAGAAATTTACATCTCTATTTAGAATTTCTATTATAAAACATTAGTTGATTCAGAGAAAGAATTTCTCAAGTTTAAAATAATCATTGTAAAATAAGCTCTTATCTGTGAAGAAATACAAACGATCTAAAGTCAAGCTAAACACTAGGAAAACTAAGGCTTCGTCTCTACAGCGTACTAGTGTTTTTAGTTATTTAATTCATTACTATGGTGGGTTTTAAAACTGATAAAGACATAAGACCATTCCTTTCATTCTTCTTAAAAAAAATATGATAACAATATGTTTCTTTGTACGCGCTGGAATGTCACGCTTAATCAAATCCATTTTAAATTACTATTATGCGTCATAAACACAGCGCGCATTAATAAATATTGCATTAAATCAATTGATTGTCGATGAGATGTGGTCGCACAAATCGTTAATATCACATAAAATGCCCTAAATTGCGGATATAAGTTTATCTAATCGGTCTTAATCGTAAACCACGTAAAAGACTATAAAAACTTATGTTTGGTACCACTGCACCGACGGCGGGGCAGCAGTGCGGGGGTCCCTTACAGACCCCACCCGTCGTCCCGCGCGCCCTACACTCTGCATCTACCAGTTGTTCCACGCTATTCCGATCGACGACATACATCTCAAACTATTTATGTATTTTTAAGCCATTGCATTACAATTATTATATCGCCAAACCGCCTTTCATTCCACTTGCTCAACATTTTTGTTCATATACTAAGTATATGATAAACTTAATTAATACAAGCTTAACTTAACTTTAGCTTAAAGTTTTTGAAGAACTATTCAATGATATGATTACACCTTTGCTTCAATATTATCGAGTCAAAGTTAGCATGGTAAGAAATTTCAATAGAATGTAATGCATCAAGTATTCATGACAACGCGACTCGCAGCGGAGGATTCCGGCCGAAACAAATCGCTTTTGATGAAAACAAACGAACCCCAACGTACCCATATTAGGCCAGCGGTACACTAAGACTTACTATAATGCTTTGTTAAACATAATTTATGTTTTTAGAAATAGACAACTTAATATTGATTTCTGAGACTAAACTTTTTATATAAAACATATCCCTGTCATTATATTTGACAAAGCAAAGATAAGAGTATGTTTTAAACGGATTACGGTCTCAGAAACCCACAGTTAGAAGAATAAATTTAACTCACGCAGAATATAAGTAACTAGCTGTTGTTCAGGACTTCGTCTGCATAGATTAAGAAATAGATTTTATTATAAAAAATGGCTCATTAAAGAGTAAATGTTTCGCTCCTAAGATCGAAGTTTGGAAACTTGGAACTTAACATTTTTTTATATCTAAATATCTTTAGTAAAAACTCTTTGATAACTTTAAATATAAAGTAGGTTATCTATTAATTATATGTAACATTTCAGAATTAATTAACGTATCAGTTTTCCTTAAGTTCATTGTACCACAGGACTAAAATGCAGTAATGTCGTCACATCGCTGAAGTCAGAGTTAAATAAAAATAGACCTCGCAAGTATTTCGACTCTTCTCTTTTATTCTAATAATAGATTTAACTCTTGCAAATTAAGGGTTACGACTTTATTTTCTTTACATTTATCTTTGTAAAGGGTTAACTGTGCAAAAGGTTAATTTAAAGGTAGGCAACGCATATGCAATTGCGTATGTCTATGGGCAGCAGTCACTTCGCTATTTCAGCGATTTCAGGTGGCTGCTTTGCCACCTTTTGATATAACCTTTTTTTTTAACAAGCAGATGTCGTTATATTATTATCTTTGTTCTTAAAATAACTTGTAATGTTTTTTTAATAATAATATAGTTAACAAAATTTCCAACTTTCACTCACTAGAAGCCGTACCGGTTGCAATCTCATTACAAGCAAATTATTTTGTCTTTACCATTAAGAGAAAAACCGCTCAAGTTCCAACAAGTTTTAACTAATTATAACTTTTTGACGTTACCGTGATTATTTTTAATTATTTTTTTTAAGAATAAAACAGCAAAAACAGTATACCAAATACCAAAGTATACTCTATTTATAATATGCTCCACTAAAATGATAGCATTTTTATGTATTATTTTTACGTGTTTACTTTTAAAGAATGAAAATATTTAAAATGTAAATATTTAAGAGTTAGCATTAAGCTTCTTTTATATATCATAAGGCGGCAAATAAGTATTCGGTCAATTCGCCGAAATAGCGAAGCGTCAGCTGCCCATAAACATCTGCAAATGCAGACTTACTTTAAATCACCGGACCAGGACACGGGAATAAGATATTTCCCCTTTCTATTCGTCCCCTCCTCTTCAAATCCACGTTCCCTTCCCATCATTTCCTTATAAGAAAAGAAAAAGTGGGAATGGAATCTGAAGTTAAATAAGGCCTCCGACACACTCATCAGATGAAATGCGGATGCTTCTACTTTACGCCTGTCTTCTGTGTGTTATTGCACCGGACAGCAGACCAATTTATGCACTCAACAAATATTGTTGTTGCGGGATCTACCACTTTTAACTAAATTACATTTTTCCAAGGACAAGTTTTCAAATAAACAATTTATTTAGACAACCCACGTGTGCAAGTATTCCATAAAATAAATTAGTTAATATAATTCTATAAAACTAAATTATGTTTTTCAATCAATGTAGATAACATTGATTGAGATATAAGATTAAAGTCTGTTTTCTTTGGCCTAAGATATTGCCTGCTTTAGACCCCGCTGTGATTTTTATTAAGTATTTCGGAGACGATACTAAAGACGATCGTTTACATGATAATTTTATAAGAAGTTACCTGACACATGTTATTTAATAGTTTGTTTTTATGACATGAAAGTTAATAAGAATCAGATCATTGTATTATATTATTATTTTTTTTATTTCATAAGGTAGCAAAACAAGCGAGCGGCCACCTTAGTGACCGTTGCCCATAGACATACGCAATTGCATATGCGTTGCCTACCTTTAATCGACGGAGAAGAGGATGCACAGAAAGAAAATATCTTCTCTAATAAATTCTAATTCCACTTCCCATCCTTTCCTTATATTGACCGATGGATGAATGGACGGATGTTTGTTAGAAGGTATCTCCAGAATATCTACATAGGTCTTACTGAAATTTGGCAAAGATGTAAAACATAGTCTGGAAGAATTTTCTTTTAATTCCGCACAGACGGAGTCGCGCGTGACTATTAGTTACATTATAAAAATGTTCAACCAACAGAATGATTTTTCTTACATTTTTGCTAATAGTCGGGGTTTTTTTTACGTAATACTATAGAATAACAATGATGACACCCCCGCAACTATCATAAGGCTTAGTATACACGGGATTACGTGCAGTGTGTTAAGCTTTTAACCTGTCATCATTTCCATTAACTGCGTACATTATTATCTGATAATTGAATGATCAAACTCAAATGGATGTGTCATACAAATTACGTCATAACTAGATATATTGTGTTCCAAATAGATCAGATTGTAAAAGCATAGCACAGTTAAAAGTGTACGTAAAATATGATTCTTTATCGGCCGTTTAAAACATATTGGTATCTCTATTTTGTTAAAGATAATGACAGGGATGACGATAGGTTTTATACAGAGATTTTAGTCCCAGAAACTGACTTACTGGAGACATTTTTTCACTAGTATGTTTTTTATGTGTCAGTGTTTGTATGTATAGGTACATTACATCAATTGTTAGACTAGACTAGAAGACTAATTCACAGAGGAGAACACTATTCTGTAATGACGGGCAACCTCCATTAAATGGAGAGGCACCTAGAGTTAGAGAGAGAGATAGATTGAGAGAAAGAGAGATGTAACATTGTTTTTTTGGTTTTATTGAATAATGTGAATATATAAAAACCTAAAGAATTTACAGAATCATTTAATAAAGTTTGCAGTAAGAAATAGCAAGATATATAAGTTGCTTGCACTATGTTGGTATGTTATACATCTTGGCAATATCAGAGTTTATAAATTTATTGCTTGATATCGAAGCCTTTACGGATATTAAATTCATATTTGTTGCATTGTAAACGATTTTATTCGACAAAATGTGACTATTGAATAACCTTTATCAGAATAAAAGTAGCTTGACTAATATTATAAATGCGAATGTTTTGATGGATGGATAGATATTTGTTAGAAGGTATCTCCGGAGCGTCGGTGGCTCAGTGGTCAAGCACTTGACTTGCAATCTGCAGGCCCTGGGTTCGAATCCCGCCATGTACCAATGTGTTTTTCTGTTTCCGATTTACATATGTATATTTATCCGACGTTCTTACGGTGAAGGAAAACATCGTGATGCAACCAGCACATATCTGAGAAGTAATTCAAAGATATGGGTGAAGTCAACCAACCCGCACTTTGCCAGCGTGGTTGACTATGGCCTAATCACCCTTAACTTAGGGTAGGCTCCGAGCCCCTCGGCGGGGACATATAGTGAGCTGATGATGATGATCTCCGGAACGGTTTCATGGATCTCGCTGAAATTTGGCACAAATGTAGAACATAGTCTGAAAGAACACATAGACATTATTAAGTTTGTTTTTAACACCACGCGAACGGACTCGCAAACGGCAGTTAGTCTTGCACAAAGTTTTTAAGTGTCTTGCGATCGTTACAAATTCATTTCTAAGTCACATAACGAAGTCGACTTGTTTGTTTTGCGGACATTCGAGCAAGGGATCCCATAAATATCCTTCAGCTGTAATAATCTCGAAGTGTACGCGATTCGCATGTAAAGTGGGTCCAGGAGTAGTTGCGGACGAATTATGGCGTAATAATTGCTTTTATGAACGAATATTTATATAATGTTATTTTAATCGTAGAACTCCACTGCCGTTATATTTATATTAATACATATTTTCGTCTCTTTCTTTCTTTTTGAGTAAATAGAGACTACAATGTGTATTTAACTAGTGTCACGACAATGGAATTCTACGGTAATATTGTGGATAAATTAAACGATTTCTAAATAGAGTCGTAGTTAATAAACCATAAATTCGTTTCTGTTATTTCGCTTGAAAAAATTGTCTAAACTATGGTTTCATTATGATGAATGTTAAGAAAAGGGTCATCTTAAACTTGTAAATCTGCTTTATATTCTATTGGTTTGCTTTTGATTAGTAAATATAGGACATTTATGAGACACTAGCTGTCGCCCGCGACTCCGTCCGCGCGGTATTAAAAATATAAATAACAAGTAGTATAAATATTCTTCGAGACTGTGTTCTACGTCTTGGTATGTCAAATTTGGCGTGCCATGATGCCCTTCTAGTAAATATCCACTCATCAATCCATACATACATACATTCGCATTTAAATTATAAGTAAGATAAGATTTTCAAGATATAAAGATAGTTGCAATAAATTCTATCCAAGATTAAGAAGCGAAAAAGAGCTTGTTTAGGTTTAATATCGTCGCTCGACACCAGAGGGCCCTCAGGTCTTGTGTTAATTGGAAAGTTAATGAGGCGATAGTAAAGGTCGCGTTGAAGGTGATTATTGTATGCAAAGTAGCTATGCTTGTAATATCACAAATTAATTGACTCATAGCTTTTCTTACCCAAGAAGTAACATTTTTAATTCTTACATATTATTCTTGATGTTAACCGTCTGTGGCTCATAGGGTAAGCACTTTACTTGTAATCTGCACGTCCTGGGTCCTAGGATTCAAAAATCCCGCCGTGTAACAATGTGTTTTCGTTTTACATATGTACATTTATCCAACGTTCTTACAGTGAAGGAAAACACTGTTGCTACGTACCCATATCTGCGAAATAAATCAGACACTGGCTACTGGCTCAGTGTGGTTGACTATGGCCTAGTCACCCTTGACTTAGGATAGATTCTAAGCCTTTTAGTGAGACATCGTACCATTCTATACTGCTCTATGACGACGTGTTCAAACAATAACAGTACAACAATGCACTACTCTACAACACACGTCCTCGTGTAAAACTAACAGGAAATTATTTTTGATGTATAAAGATATAACTCATAAAGGGGTCTGTAATTACAGATTAATCAGTTATATTAATTTTCTTTAGTCTTTTTAGTATAAAGATGAACAAACAAGCAATTTGTTGCTTTGATTACATTGTTGGTTGGAATCTTTTGACGCATAATTATTTAAATTGCCTAGATAATTGAAAAGCAAACCCCGCGGTCAAAGCGGTGTCGTATTTTGCTGGAATTATAGATCACTAGTGTTCCCGTGACTTCGTCCGCGCGGAATAAAAAAAACTTATTAAGTAGCCTACGTGTTCTTCCAGGCTATGTTTTATATGCCAAATTTCATCGAGATCTATTCAGCCGTTCTGGAGATACCTTCAAAAAAACATCCATCCATCTATCTAAATATTCGCATTTATAATATTAGTAAGATTTAATTATTAAAATCTGGATGCCAAGTAAAGTTTATGTTTAAGTTGATTATCGCTAAAACACGAATAAAATGACATTTTCTGAAAATGATTCCTAGCTAGATCGATTACCGCCCCCGAAACCTCCTATATACTAAATTTTATGAAAATCGTTGGAGCCGATTCCGAGATTCCAATTATATATATACAAGAATTGCTCATTTAAAGATATAAGATTTATGAAGATATAAAATCCTATTATAATTTAATCTATCACTGTTTATAGAAATACGCCAAACTTCTGTCATTGTCAAATCATGTTTCGTCTTTGGTTCTAATCAAATTTTAATGAAAATCCAATTAATATTGTTCACAATAATCACTGTAGCATCATGTGTCAGAGATAAGCGACTGATCACAAGATTCCTGCAGCCGAGCTATGGAGTCCAGCCTGTCATAGTCAACGGAGACCCGGCGACTGTCGGTCAAATACCGTACTTTGTATCCATCAAAGAAGTGCTACGTTGGTACAAGAAAAATAGCGCATTATGGAAAAGTTTCTGTGGTGGAACTATTATAGCTATCAACAAAGTATTGACTGCGGCACATTGTTTTGAAGTTAACGATTATAAATATTATCAAAGGCCGCATCTTTTACGTGTAGTCGCTGGCAGTATACGAAATTACATGATACACTCTGGAGAAGAAGTCACAGAAAACAGCAATCAATGGCGTAAAATACAAAAAATTGTTATACACGCATCATTCAATTTTCCAGCAAACGATATAGCTTTAGTTTTTGTTAATAATTTCACTTACACATCTTTTGTTACTTACGCTATACCAGCGAAAGCTGATATGGATTATGCTAGAAGATGTATGGCCGCGGGGTTCGGAAAGACTGGTCAAGATATGTCCAATCAAGCGTCTCATGTATTATTAGTTGCTAAAATTGAATTACTATCAAAATATTTGTGTTCGAACCGTTGGTTGTCTGATATGGATAAGTTTATATGTTCCGATGCGGAGTCGGCAGATGTCGCTAGAGGGGACTCCGGAGGGCCTCTTGTATGCAAAGGGACTTTGGACCCTGCGGAGAGATCTGGGAGGGACCTTCTAGTTGGGATTGTCAGTGGTAAAGACGTGGATAGAACTACTATATACACCCGCGTATCTGCTTACAAGGATTGGATAGAAAGAGGCAAAAGTCAGCGAATAAAAACCAATATTTTTGTTATAATTATATGTTTTCTTACATTATATGTATCGTTTTTGTTTCTAAATCCTATCAAGAATCATCATCAGCTCACTATTCGTCTCCACTTAGGGGCTCGGAGCTTACCCCAAGTTAATTAAGTCATAATCAACCACCTGGGCCAAGTGCAGATTGATTTTACATATATCTTAGAATTTTGTCGCAAATATGTGCAACTTCACAATATTTTCCTTTACCTTAAGAACGTCGAGTAAATGTACATATTTAAATCGAAAATCTCATTGGTAGATGATGGGATTCGAACCCAGGGCCTGCAGATAACAACTCAAATGTTTAACCCATAACCCACCGATGATATCACGAAAAACTGGGTTTATAAAAATTAAAACACAATTTAATTTTTAAATGTGTTGTATATATTTAACTTTGATACATTATATATTATAATATTATAAAATGAAAATTAAATTTAATTAAAATAATTGTTCCATTTCTTAAAAAAACATTTTTCGTATAAAAATATATAAAGACAATATAGCGATAAAAAAATATTACAAAAAAATATTTTTAACTTAAAAACCGGGAACTTTTTTAAACAATTAATTAAAATAATCATAATAAAATCTTAAATAATTTTTATTTCATTAAAATCGGTTACGATTTTTAATCAACTCCAATCATAAATAAGGTTACAATCTATTCTCTGTTATAATTACTACATTTTAAAGTCAATTTTCCATTGCCGAAAGATTTATTCAAATAATAGTCATTTCTAATAATACGTTTTTGTTCAAATGTTTCGGCAATTGAAACTAAGAGTAACCTTTAAAAGCTAACAATAAAACCTTTATATCGATATTTTGGCTTAAAATCCAAAAAAAAAACTTTTATAGTACTACAGACTTAAATGGCCTTTAACACGTTAGCTGCCAGAATGATTTTTCGAAAAACGAAATTTTTTTATTTTTTATTTTTGTCCAAAACCATTTGAATGGGGTCTTGCGAGTCGCGTTGTATACAATTAAAAAGCCACAGAGAGGTGTTGAATAGAAGTATGGCTTGTCAGACACATAGTCCGACACGGCCTGATTGAAACATTAGCTTGTCGGACGTATAGTCCGAGATGGCAGCTAACGTGTTAAGATACTGCTATTGCGTTAGGCTGTCAGAAATGTAAATTTTAGTCACAAGAAGCAAGGTCACAAGCACGACATGGATCTTGTGACATTTAAACATTAACAGTTGACGGTATATGTAATTTGGTGTTATACCCACCGGGTCAAATAAATCTGTAACACTAATCAAAATTCCTTAATGGAAGTCAAAATTGTCATTTCAAATCTGTTGTGCAAATACAAAATATATTGTCAAATATTTTATATAATCTTACAATTAATTTTAGCCTAACCAAGAATATAAAAATACTAGCTTGAGGGCGCTGCAATCGCTTTTGTTATCTGTACGAAGAAATTAGTTTCATATTTTTCCGCTATGGCGTTTTTATATTCCTTGTCAAGTTAAATGGAAATACTCTTAAATATCTTCTAAATATTTATCAAACTTTAAAATCTTATGTATAAAACTAGCCGTCGCCCGCGACTCCGTCCAGGTGGAGTTAAAAAATAGATAGTAGTCGATGCTTAGACCCACTGAATATGTATATAAATTTAAAAATCGATCAAGCCGTTTTAGAGGAGTAAATTAAGTAATATCGTGTGTAAAATTAATAAATAAAATCTTATATATAAAATTCTTTTGTCACAATAATTGTGTCGACTACTATTTTTTGTTCCCGCACGGACGGAGTCGCGGGCGATAGCTAGTATAACTTAAAGTAAAAGAAATAATATTGAAGTTTAATCGAAATTGACTGAGAAATTATATATATGTAGTAATTATTTTACCCAGTACATTTTTCCTGATAGCCCAATATGGGGTACATTTTTTTTTGGGAATGTACGTCCTGTAGCTTAAATGACATCATTGATTATAGAGTAAATGCCATACTCATAGATGTTAATTGGTGATTAATCCTGTACTAAGGGAAGCTCTTACAAATAAATTAAACTTTGATTCGATATTTAGGTGTCGTTCCTTGAAGTTTTTTAGATTTTTTAAGTATTATATTGAGTAACTTGTTTATACTAAATTATTCTAGATTAGGCAAAGACTATTTTTTAATTCCTGGATTGAGGTTACAAGATATAAGTACTTAATTTAAATACTAAAAGTCAACAATTATTAAAATCTTCATATTTACAATCTTTGTTTGACACAATTCTAATTGTTCGTATAAAAATGTCTATTTCTACTCTTTATGTAGTCGTTATAAAGTATGTCATCCCTTTCATTTTCTATGAAAAGAAGAGAGATGACATTACACTTTTCAAATTTAGAACTGCTTCAATAAACAAATCATCGAGAAAATTTAATTTAGTTTTAAGCTAAAGGAAGCCTTATTGTATATAACATAAAGTTCAAAGTTGATTGTGATTGGGAATGTATTTATTTGTCTTGCAGCTGCACGTAGTTGGCAGGAAAGAGGCCGTATGCGCCTTTGCATAGACCTTGCCACCAGCCCTCGTCGATCTACACCCACAAGT